CTTCACTTAGACTTCGTACTTATTACAATTAATACTTACTAATTGGCTTTAAATACACTTTACAAAATTAGACGATATTRACTATTGACAATAGCTAATTATAGAAAGGCTTGAAACGAACTGGAATTTCCGGGTCACTGTCTGCAGTACCATGCCAAGTAAAATTGTACTGGACACACCCAATCATTGATCCATCATAGTTCACGCAGTATCCTTCGATACTATAACGACCCTACAAAAAAAAATTATACACGATTAAATGCAGTAAGAGCAAAAAAAAAACAAAACAGTTTTCATCTTGTTACCTTTAAATTCAAGATAAAACAGGGAATAGATAGCGGCCAACTCACTTTTTGGGTCACTGTGGAACGATATGTTGATTTTATTTAGCACATGTACATATATAATCATGACCTATTTCCGTTTATCATATAAATCAAAATGTCCTTGTGTTCTAAAGGTAAAGGTCACTTTCTTTAAATCGAGACAAAATAACAACAGCAAACGTTTGAGCATGATTCGTGAGATAAATCTTACCTCCTTTTATAATTGGACAATGAAAAGGAGTGTGTCKTCCCATACAAACATCTTGCGGACGCCCGGCTCCAAGTAGGATTCCATTATAGTAAATATTTCCAGAACACGTTGCGGCTAAAATATCGACCGCTGTCGAATAATACACTAATCAATATATAATTAATCAATATTATTGAAAAGCAATAGGATAAAAAGGTATAGCTATGTTACAGACAAATCTAAAACCTTAATGATAATTCAAAAATAAAGAATCCTTTAATATTATTTCATTAAAACGCATTCATTAATTTGACGTTGCATAAATTGTKTGAAATCAAGAACTTGCTGAGTTCAGGACCTTCATTATTAGAGATGTTTTTGCGGGACGATGACTTGCTCGCCGTACAAATGACATCCTTCATAATTAATATASATTGTAAGCTTCTGTCCTTTGAGAAACCGTTTGAGAAACGAGTATAGGCCATGCAAAAATCTTGCAACTAAGAAGAAACCTTAACGAAGCTGCTTACTTGGCGTGAATTGCGCGTATCCTATCATTTGCTGGTGACACGTCGGGTAATTTGGATGCACAGACACAATCACATTTGGAACTTGCTTTGCTGTCAAAAACATAAAATTCTATGTAAAAATTAAAATAACTGATTTTGTGAAATAAATCGGTCTGATTTTTCAGCAGTTTTCTTGCGAAACAGAAACGTCAAGTTCCAGTTAGCAGTAATTAAGGAATTAAGGTAATTAATTTCCTTCCAGACCACGTTTAGAATCCCATTCCTAGCGAAAGAAATGACAAAGGAATAGTTTCAAAAGAACAGACGGGAAGTCGTTTAGTATCGAGTTCTTCCGGGGTGAATCTAATGATACTTCTCTCTCCCTTCTTCATCACTGTTTTACATTCACRATTTGCATTCTTTGAATTTTCAGTCAGAGGACTTACTACAVCCATACATGAGACTTTGGTTCGTRAGAAAYTTTGATTGTAGAGGATTGGGTAATGGGTACATCAGGAAGGCAGCATTCGCCGCATGTATAWAAGTGGTAAATAGAACAATGGCCARCATGTTGAAATTCGCACTGAAGCAGATAATAAAAATATATAAGAAGTTAATATAAATTCGCACGAGTACATCAAATAGAATACAAAACATTTGAGTTTAGTTTAAATGATTATTAACCAACGGTTATTCATGAAGGCACGATTTGGTTCATTGTCATGAGAACTGATAATAAGCTAGGAGGTCTCTCTGTATATAAGGATGTGTCCAATACCAAGGTACACTAACCTTTTCATAAGGAGCTTCTGGCACTAGCTCTGCTTTTTGGGGGGTTTACGAAGTAGGAACTCACACTGMTTTTGAAGTTTGCGTGAAAGTTGTGAATGGCCAGTGATGAAAAGTGAAGTACCCCGYGGAGATTCGATACTCCCCAGGTGGGCACGCCCAATTAGGTAATAATTAGTATCGAACCAATTTGAAAAAGTTTAATTGTCTGATATCAACAACATCAGCGATTGGCTCAAACGTTTAGTATTGTGTAAAAAAATCGTTTTAAGATTTGAGTGTCTGCACTGTAATTACAATCACGCAATCASGTAATTGCAATCTCTAGTAATCTTCAGCCAGCATGGTACGGTTTGCTATGGTGTTTTTCATGCTCCAATCCTGTACGTTTGCCAAGTCAACTGAGGGTAACAAAACATCTTGTCCACAACCAAAAGTAGGAAACTGTACGTGCAGTTGGAAAAGTAGTTTCTACYGYATCATCAATTGTGAAGGTCTGGACACTGTCCCAGAGGTGATACCATCTCTAACTATTTACTTGTGAGTAGCTTTTTTATATTACYCTGTTTCATTATGACGTAACATCAAAACATCATTATGCTAACGTAAAGGATTATTGTCACCAGAGGGGATCAGAGTGATAGAAGGAGAGAATAGAAATGGACCAAAATTTCCGATRWTTTTGAGCATCGTTTCCCGATATTAACATACTCTGACGTCATAATGAAATAGGGCAATTGATATACTATCATAACGAACTATCATATAAGGCTGCTGGACATGGCTGGATTTGTTTGTTTGTTATTTTCAAATTCTTGTCAATTGTAATTTCTGCGTTTTGTTGATGCTTTAGAAAAATGACAGACGGCACAATAGAGAACATACCTCCAAACTATTTTAAGAAGTTGAGCCTGTTGTTAAACTTGTGAGTAACTGTCTACTAAAATGGCATCGCTAGAGAAAAATAAACCAAGAGTGTCAGCATGACTTTATTTGATTCCAGTTAACAGATARCTGGTGTATAATTCTGATGCAATGTTGTTTTCTTCAGAGATTTAAGTCAAAACAGAATTTCAAACGTTTTCTAYATTCCTCGTAGTGTTATTCACATGTAAGTTAAACTATGCTTATATAGCTATATCCACATAGCTACCATACAGAGAACAGACAAGCGCTACAAGCGCTARTAATACCATCATTAGTTGCACAACTCATGTACCTGATATGCAATTTGTCCCTGGACAACTAGACTATATTTTTGTCTTGAATATTACTATATCTCTGYCTTTACTAACCTGGTGAATATCAACTTACTTACTTATTGATCTTGCAAACCATACTTATTGATATGTGTGACATTTGAAGGAATTTGAGCTACAATTTGCTGAATTCGTCAACGCTTTACGGAATGTTTCAGAACCATAATACACTGAACATGCTGAGAACGCTGTAAGTAATAACCTTTGTTATACCTACTACACCATAAAGCATGTTGTTGACTGGTATATTYAACAAATCGAAATCGCTTTTCTATTACGCTTATCGACAATGAAAATGGCGTCAGAAAATGATCAAAACTCAATGAGTGGAACCACGAGCGTAGCGACTATGGCTTTGAGGAACATCCTATTTCCAAGGGCAACTATCACAGCAAAATGCCCGAGAGCCTAATGTTTTTATTATTCAATTTTAATTTCTTAAAATTTATGCATCGAGAAAAAAGCGCTTGAGCTCTGTGCGCTGATCATACTAACTCTCCAAGGTGTGCTTTATCGCGTCACGTGGTCGACTCCAGAGCGGAGGAAAATTTGTGTTGTTRGAAAGTAAAAATATGGCTCTCGAAAGTGATTACGTGAGAGAGTAGATTATTTATGACTTAGGATATTATATCTCATAAGAAAGCTAACTTAGAATGTATGTTGAGTAGTTTTATTTTTTTATGATAATTTCTATATCAATAGGTTTTTAGATAGCAATCCACTAACAACACTGATACCAGCAACATTTAAAGGCCTTGAAAATCTTAACAGACTGTAAGTATACCGATAGGCATTTTTTGCCAAATTATACTTTACAATTTTATACTGCATTATTTAAATTTTATAGTTCAGTTTTGAGCAGTGACAACCCAACCTTTATTTATCACGGTTACTCCGTTATTTCGTATAGGAACTAAAACACTAAGCAATATTGTGTCAGAAATTCAAATCAATTAATCATTATCATCAATTTCGTAGCTCTGTTAGTAGCTGTGAAATAAAATTCATTCAAGTAGGATCATTTACTGGGCTGAGAAATGTACAAAATTTGTAAGTAAAAGTTTCTTTGTAACTTAAAGGAATAACTATATTTCTATCAAATTATACGGTAATCTTTACAATTAAAACAAAAATTTGTCGTAAAGGCTTTTTATTGAATTCGATAAATTCTCAGTTTTTAGTAATGTTATACGAGTGTGGCGTCGACTAAGGAATCACTGTTATGTTCTTAGCTATCATGGTCTTAGCTATCATGATCTAGCCTTTTGTAACCTTATTGCGTTTTTTTAATCAGGTGTATACATATGATATGTCTTAGGGATGTCGATTTTTGGTGTTGTATGTGGCTATAAAGTTATTTTAATTATAACGTTAAAACGATAAAAGTCATTTCGCGAGCGCATATATTTCTTCCCTCTCCACTTCCCAGTCTGAAGAAAGGTCGAAAATATTCTCTTCCCTAATATTTGTGAAAAGGTAAGAATAATGCTATGTA